GCAATGATGCTATGCTAGCCACTAGAGTCTACTCTTTTATTAAGGAGACGGTTGGGGTTGTTGGGTCCAGACTTTCTCAGCTTTCTGCTGCCTGCGCGCAGGTAGAGGGGTGAGAGAGCTCTGGACGTGTACTGTGAATTTTACCTGTGATCCTCTGAATAAACCAGCACGGTTATTTTTTATAAAATCTAAAGCAGTCTCTTTCGTCTCATTGAGAGTTCCTGGTTTGAAAGAACCGGAAGAAGCTACACAGAAATAATAGCTTATAATACCCAGTCCACACCAGAAATCCAATCCATACTATGTGCAAACTGTGGCTACTTCCTGAGTGGTTAAGGTGAGGTCGGGATAACTGGGTGAGACAATGCAACACTGCTGTAAATGCATGGAACAAATCTATTTGGCAGTACAGATCAGGTAGTGACAATAAGTCATCTATTTCTATATACGGTCTATGCCATAGACTCTATGGCATGTACACATGTATACATATACACACACACACACACACACACGTGTGCGCGTTTGCGGCTGTAGATGTAGGGCAAGGTTCATGCAGATATTTTCCTCTGTGGTCAAAGCAATGATGCTATGCTAGCCACTAGAGTCTACTCTTTTATTAAGGAGACGGGGAGTTGGGTCTTTTTTTCCCAGAACAATTTGACTCTGGAGAAAACATCCTCATATCCTGGAATTGATCCTTCACACTGAAGAACTGCCAAATCAACAGGATCTGTTTATGCAACTGATCTTCATCAGGCTGAAAAGTGCATTCTACTCAAGCCAAGAATGGATGATTGTCATAAACAAACTCAAATCTCAAAGGAAACTAGAAAGGCAGTTCTCCGCTGCCTTTCTTGCTCCCCCCCTTTCCCCCGCCCCCTGCCTTCTTCTTTACCCTATGACTCCACTTTCCTTCCAGGCCTAGGGAAAACCATTTCCCTTTCTCACACATACATATATATATAAATGTCACCACCACAGAAAACACAACAGGCTTGTTTGTGGGATAGTTCTGCTCCTGGCTGACACTTTCATGGACAGCTTTAATTCAACTTCTTTGGACAATGGCTTTTTAGAGGGTACAATTTATCTATTCACCTGGACCCACACAGATGGTCTGCCTCCTGAGATATAACCCAGTTAGTGTAGAAAACATGATATGTGATCATGTGAACAGACCCTTTGGTGTCTGACGTTCCTATCCTCACTCTTTTAGTTGTGATTCACTGTCTAGGCCCACTTCCTGTGAAACAAACCACAAAGACTAACTGGAAGGAATTGACACCATATTAGGAGCTGAGCTCTATGCAGTCAACATCAGTGGGATGTCAGCGGAAAAGATATGAAACAAGCAACATTTGCACTGTGCCCTGAAAATCCTCCAGACTGGTAGAGGCACCCTGCTTGGATGTTTTGTTTAGCATGCTGCCAATACTGGAAAACGTCCTGAATCACAGACACAAATGTAATTATATGCAGTAATCACAAAGACAAATTTGAGGGAGCTATTTACTTTAGTTCAGAAGATACCCTGGTGGTAATCTTGTTTACAATGAATGGCTGGACGACAGATTAAAAAAAAAAAAAAAAGCATGACTGGGACTGCCGCTGGTTCTACAAATACCTCAGCTTCGAAGGGCTTTGTAAGTACATTCTAGCATAGCATATTAACAGGGCAAGAAATTGTTGTCCTGACCTTTCTGCAAAGAACTTAAAGCCACAAGTGCAGAAGCTTAAAGGTTTTCCATTCTTTGTTAAAGGGAGCAAAGAGTTCCTACATAATAGTACATAAAAAGACATCAGGTCAGTTTAAGGCCACTGTAGGTTAGGGCTAGAAAACTGTGTTTAGATATTTGACATATGTAAAGTGATAGGTCAAAACATCATGGGTAATGAGCTTCCATAGGAATGTACACTCATCATTTGTCACATTTAATTGTGTACTGATAACTGTAAGTCAACCTTTACTGTCTATCATCCTGTGGCACCATTCCCCATCACTTAAATTCCAGAAATTCTAAAAGAGTAATATCCACAAAAAAACTAAAATGACACACAAACCTCCATAGAACAGAAAACTGAGGTCTAGTGCTGCTCTGTATTCTGCTGTATTTTCATCTCTGGTGTTTGAAGCTTCTGCTCTAGTATGCAAATGCTGTACAGTATTTTTCTTTTTTTGTATTTCATATTTTTCTGTTCATACCACTCACTGTTATGTGTGTGTCTGATAGGAGTCTGTCAGCAGTGATGAAATTTCACATTCATGAAAATTTACAGAACAATCTCCATCCCTGGAACACATCAAGGGATAACCTATGTGAATTATGTATGGTGAGCAGAAGAGAGAAGGAAGTGAACAGGAGAACTAAAACATGACTGAAGCTTTAAAAAGAGTGCCTCTACTTTACTGTAATATGTCAATATGTAATATGTAATTTCATACGTTTCTGCTGTAAACGCTGCAACTCATGTCTTAGTTGTTGTGGGACTGTTATGTCATCTTCTCCTGTACAATCAGGTCTCCCCAATATAAGGTGCTTGTAATGTCTTGATTAAATATTTAAGTTCATACTACAGTGCCTGAATTGAATATGCTGAAAAACTGTACTCATTCATCAGTACCAGGTTAGGTTTATTTCCAGTACAGCACACCTAGAAACTAGTGCATAAGCCAGGCATTGGTGTTATTTTTATGTTTTGGCTTATATTCATTTAGTGAGAGAGAGCAACAAATATTATGCGCTATACACCATTTTGAGGAGCCAATATAATACAAGGGTTATTTACACAAGGAAGTGTAATACAAGGAAGTAATTATGCAAGAAACACACAGCTATGATACGTCCAAAACTAACCTCTGCACTGTCATCAGTTCACTCAGAGTAGAATTTTCCATTACATCCTTCAAAACTAATCATCAATATGAAAAAAATTTGTTTGAATGGGTATGCTGGCCATGTAGATTCCTTCATGGAATACATTTTATAGTTCATAAATCTCACTGTCTTTAAACAAGCCAGTTGAAAATAGTCCTCACATTGTGGTCTGGAGAACTATCTGTCCCTTTTCATCAGCTCAGTTGTAGTCTTAAAGGCACAGGTGCCTCATTTGGACTGGAAAGAAACTGCTAGGGGCACATTTGTCCCAGTGCAATACAACAACTGTCACAAACACTGTCAATACATGGTCTAGAGCAAACAGAGAGACAGGTTTGCACATACACACACAGAGTCACTTTAAGGGACATTGCAGTGACTTACATTCATTTCTTGGAGACTTAACCCCTACCTGAACTGTAACCACTACGTGCCTAACCCTAACTTTAGGTAGATAGGACTTTATTGATCCCACAATGGGGGAAATTCCTGTGTTCCAGCAGCAATAGAAAGCAGCAACAAAACACCATAAGGACAAACACCACACACATATCTTGAGAAACAGATTCCAAAGTACCTAAAACCAAACAGAACATAGTATTTGAGAGACAATCAAGAACAAAAATGATCCTCCCACAATTAATCCCTGAGAACAAATCAAAATACCTAAGAACAAGACAGAATATAGTATTCAAGAGATCAAGGACAAGAATATTACTCCCATAATTAATCCCGCAATGGGGGAAATACCTGTATCTCAGCCATGAGGATCTCTGAAAAACTACTCAAATACCTAAAACAATACAATATAAAGTATTCAAGAGAAATCAAGGAGAAGACCTAACCTAACCCCAACAAAACTGTCACTCTATAATGTAATGATTTACATTTTAGGGACTTGTTTTTTGGTCCCTATATGGACATCAATTGTGGTGTGACTGAGTAGAGATTTACACATGTCCCCACAACATGAGTAATACCAGCACACACACACACAGAGTACGCATGGCACGTGGGCTGAGGATTTCAGGACACATTTTCCTTGGTACTGGTAGAGAGTGTATGTGTGTGAGAGTGTTGGACACAGGACGTGAGAAGGACACCAGTTCCTCTGGGCACAACATGGATCATGTGTGTTACAGACAGGGAGACTCCGAGAAAGACACACAGAGACAGAGAGAGACAGGTGATACACTTGAGATCTGCAGTGCTTTGCTCCATGGCTCTGTCACCCATCTTTCTCTCTCTCTTTTTGTTCCTTCTGGTGCTGTTTCTCCCACTGATATACGCATTCATAAAAAACATTAAAGAAAAACACACAAATGCAGTCTGCCTGCTCTCTGTGATAAGGACATCTGGCACATTTCACAAGCTGGCTATGTGTGAGGAGTGTGTAGGTAGTGCATATGAGGCGGCATTGTATGTTTGTATGTGTGTTGGGGGGAGGGGTTACTGGAACATTGGAGGGCTGAAGAGAAGGTAAAGCTGGCACAAGTGATGGGTTCTGGTGAGTCCACACAATCAACATTATAGAAGAAACAATGACACAAGCTCTATAGGTCCAGCAGTAAGGGATAAAACCTGTATTACTGAGGTTTACTTTAATTTCAATGTGTGAAGCAAATTTTCCTAAACAACAATCAGTTCAACTTTAAAACCTGATACCTCACATTCAGGATAATAAAGTAAGATACCCTAAAGACTGAAATAAAAACCTGACCTGAGGTTTGTTGTGGGGTAATAAGTAAAGCTGGCTAGCTGTGCTAAAAGCTCTCAGAGGACACTAAATGTCAGGGCTAATGAAAACCCTATGACAGCAATGTGACCGCAGACAACATAAGCTCCCTTTCAGTCAATAGCAGAGGAACACTGTTGTGACTCATTAAAGCAGTGAATGGATTCGAGTATGTAGGATCAAGCTCTCAACTGCCGCACAGAAGAAGAGCAACCTGGCTGACCCAAGGGTAAAGGAAGCCAATTTAATTGAACTGACCCGCAAGATGAGGGAAAAATAACCCCAATCAATTCACAAGAGATGGACGAGGAAGGCGGTTTAGTGGATGCGTATCATGTGGGAGCAGAGACGGAGAGAAAGAGTATGTGTTTCTGTCTGTGTCTTACCTGATGCGTGACCATGAGGGAGCAGGGTGAAGAGGAGGAGAAGCGCGGAGGCAGCCAGCCTGTGGGCTAGAGAGGAGGAGGAGGTGGAAAAAGGGGAGGACAGGGTTCTCGTGTGAAACGCTACCATTCCATCACACATCTTTTCCTCTGGCAACCAGTGAGAGTCCTCTATGGCTTAACCTGTCCAGGACACATAGAGAGGAAGGGATAGACAGGGAGAGGGAGGGAGGACGCAGATTACTATCAACAGTCAGTGAGGATTACGTAACCAA